TGCCGTTTTCTAGAAACATTCACAAATTATCACTGAACCTAAATAAATTTGATAAAATAGTTTATACATGCCTTCCATCGGGCAATGTTTAACACACATATAAGTTATGTTACGTCTTTATGAAGATCGCAAAGAAACGTTGTTCAGTGAAGGGTTAAGGCAAGGACACGGGTTGCAGAGCAACCATTGTTTACTCTGCAACTTGTACCTTCCTCTCATTCAGTAATTGTGTTGACCACAGTCAGTGGTTAAGGCAAGTCTGTGCTTCTCATCTTCAGACTGACCACTAGTCCACACTTTCTACTCTCAGTTTTCTAAGTTAGTCAGTTTTCCCCACCTCTCCTCACAGGTGCAGTGTGAGGGAAGGGGCGGGGGGTGAACGATCATTGTTATAGTCATGGGGAAGCGCTAACCCCGTAAGGGATGACACAGCGCCTTGTGGGAATGTAATCAAGCGTGACAGAAGGAAGGGATAGCGGTGCGAAGTGTGACTAGTGGACAGGACATCCTCTACACGGCATGTTTCAATCGCTCAAATCATCTCCATCTTTACACTTTCATCCGCCTCACACCTCCGAGTGCCTGGCCCATAGGTGGGGTATGGCCTTCCCCGGCTGCCACGTCTGTGGTACACCATTTAGTCTTTTATTTTAGACTTGATAGACTGGCTTGAAGGTTGAGTCTTGTCGCTTGGCTGGACACTCAACACCACCGTAGTATGTAGAAATTACACCTGTTTGTTATAATGAGTTGAAGGCCTCGGTCGCCGCTGAGTCAGGAACAGACGGGAGATGTAGTTGCATCTGTTGCGACTCTTGTTGCAGCAGAACTGCTGCGTAGTTCTCCCGTCTCCTTGACAATCTCATCTTGAGGTTATGTAAACATAACCTCAAGATCAAGAACTAGACACATGTGCAACATCTAGGTGTCATTATTATAGACATTTCCCCATCTAGTCGCCTCAGCAATACAAATTCAAGGATATAATGGGAAGTCCGAAGAACTACATATATACAACAGTTTAGGTAATCAGTTCTACGGTACTCTTCACCAACTTCAAGGCTGAGGGACTGATTACTTCATCTTTTGTATATAGTTTTTTCTGAGTTCCCATTATATCCTTGAATTTATATTGAGAAAACCATTGGATGGCGAAACGTCTAAATTAAAAACACACAGATATTGTACATATTGTACATCATCTCTGTACCCCACCCAGGCAATGAGATTTACTGGGTTCTCCAAACATCACTAGTTACTAACTAGTTAGCTAGTAAGATCTATTAGTGCCAAATAATTAACAGTTTTTTATTTAGAATTGTAGTATGAGTGAACAATAATCCCGCATTCAACATCAGTTTATTGTCAGCTTCGGATAAGTAGAAGATTTTTAATAATCTGGATTGTTGGATAGAGAGATCCGGATTTATTGACTAGTGAGATTAGAAATTAGTCCCGAATTGTTCTAGAATCTAGTGCCTTGTGTGTAGATAAACTCATGTCTAATCCTCAGTCATATTAGCTAATTAAATAACGTATTAGTGCTAGATATCTAGAAGTAAATATGTAAATTCTGAAACGACTGTCATGTATGTGAGTTCATAGTCTTAAACCATTAGATTGGTTTATATATATATATATATATATATATATATATATATATATATATATATATATATATATATATATATATATATATATATATATATAAGTCGTGGCTAATAGGTAAAACTGGTCAATTAACAAGAACTCATGTAAAATTAAGTCCTTTCTAAAATTTTCTCATACGTTTGAAAATATATTTTTTTTATTTATGTTAATGTAAAAATTAATAAATTTGTACGAAAAGAGCCTTGGAAAACTTACCTAACCTTATTATAATAAACGCAATTTAATTTAGCCTAATCCAACTAAATATATTTTAGATAAGTTTACAATAATTTAATAATAAACAAACACAATTTTTTTGCGAAATTATTGCATACACAAATTTTCGCTTGCCTTATTCAGGCAAGAATATTTGCTTTATTTATAGCCAAAAATTGCAAGTTTTTACCAATCGGCATGACATATATATTATATACATTATTTATATATAATATATGTAATATTTATATATTATAATATATATACAAAATTTTATATATTATATAAATATTTATATATATTAATATAATATGTATTATAAATATCAGTTTAATTATATATATATATATTATATATATATATATATATATATATATATATATATATATATATATTATATATATATATATATATATATATATATATATATATATTATAATCACATCGGTCCTTTCCCACCTGCAATAGAAATTTAACAATATACTAATGTCAGCTTTATGTAGGGTATCTTTTAGGTGATATATCTTGTAAAAGGAGTATTGGTATCTGTTGACTTTTATAATACACATGGGGGAAGTGCCTGGGGAACGAGAGGTGATACGATTTGATTCGAGTAAAAGGAAGAGGTAATTTCCAGTTTCTTAGAATAAGAGCCTATCACGAGCATCGAGGCACCTTCTTAAAGGAAGCCTTTACTAACATCTTCGGAGAAAACAGAGTAGAGGTATTGCAACTGGTAATTGTTACTCCTGCAAGAGTGCGCACCACTGACCTCCGACATTGGTAACCT